GCTGGTGAATCTGGGAAAAGTACAATTGTGAAGCAAATGAAGTAAGTACGTTTAAAGCATTCAGCTTGTCTTATATGGTTATGTTTATGCTTCTGTGAAGAAATGTTATTCTTTTTTCTTCCCTCTCATTAGAATTATCCATGAAGCTGGTTATTCAGAAGAGGAATGTAAACAGTACAAAGCAGTGGTCTACAGCAACACCATTCAGTCAATTATTGCCATCATCAGAGCAATGGGGAGGTTGAAGATAGACTTTGGTGACTCAGCTCGGGCGGTAAGTCATTAAGTTTGTTGGAGTAAGTCTGATGAGTAACTTGTAAAATACTATAGCTGTATAACTTTGGTCAGCTATCAGGACTTCTTTATACAAGGCATCAGAAGGATAGAAGTAAGTGAAATCTGAATATACAGAGTTTCATACCCTTCCCTCTATAGCTGTTCTCACCCTAACTGATATGGACAGTTCAGTAGTCACCACAGTATTTTCTGTGTAGTGTTATATTGTTAGTCATTTCTTGTCAGTATTATAAAATACCTGGGTAAAACCACTTAGAAGAGGAAAGATTTATTTTGGCTCACAATTTCAGATGTTTCAATCCATGGTTGGCTTGATGCACTGCTGTGGCAATTGAGGCAAGATTGAAACACCATGCCTCACCATGGTAAGATGTATGTGGTGGAGCAGTGGCCTACCATGGTGGACAGGAAGTAGAGAGAGACAGGAAGATACCAGGGACAAGATACACCCTTCAGAGGCATATGCCCAGTAACCTGTCCTCTAGTCAGGCCCCCAACTCCTGATTGCCTATCCAGCTACATCTTTATCAACAGTTAAATGCATTGATAGGGTTGCATTCCTCATGATCCAGTCATTTTTTTTTTCAAGAGCACCATTAGCTGAGGGCCAAGCTTTATGAAACATTGGGTCCATTTTTATTCAAACATAACACTTGACTATCTCTGTGTCCATGTGTTGATCAGCTTATTATTGTTACTATAACAAAATATCTGAGATGATTATCTTAAAAAGACAAGAAGTCTATTTTGGCTCACAAGTTTAGATATTTTAGTTTAGTACTTGAGAGGCTGGAGGATTGTTGCACTTTGAAGCCCAGCCTGGGCTACATAGTGAGCACTGAGTCACCCAGAGCTATATAGCAAGACCCTATGTCAAAAACAAAACAAAATTTTGCTATACTGAAATGATCTAATTGTTTTTACTCAGGTCAGACTAAAACAGCAACCTGATCTTGAGCAATGAAATGATATATGAGTTTGGAGCAGGAAACTATTACCTAATTAAACACATATCAGAATTCTAGAGCTAAATGGGACTTGAGAAGACAAACCAGTTCATGGTAAAGAAGTTGGAAGCCAGGGAGTTGCTTGGCAGAAAGAGTGCAGTGTGCTCCATGGTGGTAAAGGCCTCTTTGACCCACTGCATGTTGCCAGTGGTCCAAAGCATCCCTGGTCCTTTCAAGACAGTTTCTCTTTTTCTTGCTCCATTTCATGCCTAACCTGTAACCTGTCTATTTTATGTTTGTTGCTTGTGTTTGGTTCGTACTTCACTAATTCCCTTGTAATAACTGATCTAAAACGTTACCCAATCAGAAACATTTAACTAGATCCCAGTTTAATTTTTAATGTGTCTTCTATGATTTAGATATATTGTTATATTATCATTACTATTTATTTTAGTTCATTAGTATTTTTATGCATTTAATATGTCTCTGTTTTGTCATGTTAATACAGTGCAGCTCCCACGTAGTAGGAAAGGTCAGTGAGTGCCAGCAGCCTTCATGAGTATGCCTCAGGGGGTAAACAGGGTTTTCTTGTGAGGGACTTTAGCATTTTCTACAAGACATTGGGCCATATTAATTCACTCTGTTTTTCTTTTTAAGCAAAAATTCCTGCTTAGTGGGATTAAAATTTCCATATGGATTTCAAGATCCTTTATAAAAATTAAATTTTATGGTGCTGTGGGTTATATGTGGATAGTAAAATGGTAACTGTAGGGAAACTAATCATGGCTGTCCTCTCATAGGATTCTTTTCAGTTACAAAAGCTGCCTCAATCTTATTGAACAGAAATCCCTCATGAAGAACCGGGCATGGTAGCTTGGGACATTGAGGCAGGAGGGTCATTATGAGCTTGAGGCTAGCTGGGCTACATAGTGAGTTCCAAGCCAGCCTTGGATACAGAGTGGAAACCCTCCAAACAGCAACCAAACACAAAAAACAAATAAATTCTATAAGGAATTTAAAAATTCCTTGACAAAAGACAAGACACAGTAAATGCATGTGAGGTTGCAAAGAAAAAGAAACCCTAGTACACTGTTGGTGAGAATGTGCATTAGTTCATCCACGATGGAGAAGAGCAGAGAGACCCCAAAATACTGAAAATAGAGCTGTCTTACCGCAGTCCCTCTTTTGGTATACCCAAAGGAGCCAAAGTCCCCACCTAACAGAGACATCTTCCAACTTCACTACTCCATCATCCATGATGCCCAAGGTATGAAAACAGTGTCAAGCATCTCCCAGTGAAAGAATGGACAAAAACAATGTCAAAGACACACACACACACAGACACACAGACACGCAGACACACACACACGAGACACAGAGACAGAGACAGACAGAAATTGTCCAATTTTAAAAATTAAATCTTTCAGTTTGTACACCATGGATGGCCTGGAGGATATTATGGAATGTTAAAAAGGTACTCTCTGACTTCACTTATATATGGAATCAAAAACAAAAATTAAAAATTAAGTAAACAGAAATAAAATTAAAAAATTGTTACCAAAGGCTTAGTGGTAGGGTGGAAGAAATGAAGTTGTATAGGTCAAAGGATACATGGAACAGACATGTAAGATGAAGAACTCTAGAGATAAAATGTACAAGCTGAGGACTGTGGTCAAAATCATTTTTAAATAACGTATTTATCATTTATTCATTCAGTACACTCAGAGCACTTGTTAAATGAATAAATGATAAATGCATAAATGAAAGAGTGGATGAGGCAAGATATTCTGGATAAAAATCCTATTTCAGGAAAAAGTTAGAACTTTATGAATTATTAAAAATTGTCTTGAAATGTTCTTGGAAATATTAACAGCACTAAACTTTTTCATCTGTTATAAAAGAACAGAGCAGAAAGAATCCACACTTAGATTAAAAAGAGAGAGAGTAACTAGAATTTGTGCTTTATACCAATTCCAATTATGATAATTGAAAACTTTGAACAAATGCATTTATATGAGCCAGTTGTAGTGGTCCATATCTCTGTTCCCAGCACCTGAGAGAGCTGAAGCAGGAGGACTGTCAAGAATTTGTGGCAGACTGGGCTACAGAGTGAGACCTTGTCTCAAAAACCCAGACCAAACTAACCTACGTATATAGAATTATGCATTCAGAGCCTATAGTGACTGCAAGCTAGAAAGACTTTGTAGCCTGTGTGTTGAGAGTTTATGTAGGAACAATGCAAGCAGCTTCACGGAGAGTCATTTGGGCTTAGCTTCAAGAGTAAGTACTCTGACCATAACTGCACTGATTTATTGTTAACTGGTCTGAGGCTTTAGAATCCAAATGTGGACCTGCTTTACTAAGTTTTTTGGATACACCCTATTAACTGTCTTCTTCCCACTTTCAAACTATTATCTCTGTTGTCCCTAGCCATCCTCAATAACCCATTCACACAAAGCAGGTGTTCTCCCATGCTCTGTTCTGCTGGGTCTGTTCTACATGTCAGGCTGCCTTGCCTCTACATAGAATTCAAAATACTACAAGCCCCTTGCAATTACGCTTAAGAATGTAAAGATGAATTAAGTAGGGCCACACATTGGGAAAACACATTTGGGCTGAGTATTGCAACATGAGTAAGCTTTCTAGAGTAAAATGAGGGAAAGGCATTAGACAAATGAGGATTTGAGCATTTCTATTCTGAAGTATCAGTTGCTAGAAGTATTAGTAGTAGGCAGAAGGTTAAGTAGATATTTAATTCTTCTAAGGACCACAAATTTGTTTTCCAAATAAAGGCAGAGTGAATAATCTTTTGTAGCAAGCCTACATCACTGTCTCTTTTCCTGGTGTCTCATTGAATAAGATTTTACCAGCATTGTAATTTTGAAAAGCTAATAGATTAAGAAAATTGTATTTTTTCTTTGTCTTTGAGTGTTTCTTTCTTAGCGAGCATGAGAGAAATGTCCATTTGCATTTCTCCTGTGTGCTTCTCTTAGATTTCTTATTTTTGTTAAATTACTTTTCACTGAATATTAGAAATATCAACTCCTATTTTTAATTGATTTTTTTTTGCCAATTTCATGCAGTATGTCTTGATCATATTTAGATCCCCTCCCCTAATGCACATTCCCCCAACTGGTCCCCCAACCAGTTTTCATGCATTCTGTTGTGTGTGTTAAGGCTTAGCAAACCAAGTTTCTGTCCCCAAATGTCATTCAGTGTGAGTCTGTCCACTGGAGCCTGGTCAACCTATCTATGTCATTCCCTTAAAAAAAAAAAAAAAAACACAAAACAAAATAAAACAAAACCCAACTCTCTGTCTCCAGTAGTCATGGGCTGCCAATAGTATCTCATCTAAGGTTGGGGCTTGTTACCCATTTCCCCCTTCTATGTTGGATTTTTGTCTAGTTTGAACTTGTGCATCCTGTCACTGTTGGCTGTAGGTCCATATGAGTAACTTCCCAGCTGTCTAGGAAACTATTTCCTTGTGGTCACCCACCTCCCCTGATTCTTACCTCCTCTTCCACAATAGTCCCTGAGTCCTAGGTGGCAGAGGTTTGCTATAGGTGTCCTATCCAGGGACACATGCGCTACATTTTCTTATTCTCTACACTTTGGCCAGCTGTGGTTTTGTGGGTTAATCACCATGTGTTAAATGAGGAAACTTCACTGCAGAGAGTTGAGAGATGCATTAATACTTTTCTGCCTCCTGTTCTGATATGTCGCCTGATGCTGAGGTGTAGAGGTTGCATTGAAGATGTGTCACTTAGGGCTCGGCTTCTCACAGATACTTATTCTCTGTGTTTGACTAGTTTTAGAACTCTGTAATAGTCACCATCTGTTGCAAGAAGAAAATTTATTGATAAGTAGTGAGAGGCACAGTTGTATCTAAGGATTTGGAAGGAAGATCCACAAATTCAGAGAGAAAATATATATGTTGTTTTTGAGTCTGTGTTACTTCACTTAACATAACACCTTCTAGGTCCATCCATTTACCTGAACATTTCATGATTTCATCTTTTGCCACTAAGTA